GTGGACGTACACGGATTGGAAGCAGCTAATCTGATCTTCGGTGCCCTCCTTTTCTTACACAACCTCCAGGTTCTTGACACGTTTCAACTCCATTGCACATCACCATCCAGCTTCCGGAGTTGAATCTTGCACTGAATGGACTAGAGTACTGTTCGGTGACGTACTTTTGTTCTACACTCCTACTTGCTACCATGCCGGGTAAAGGACCCGGCTGGTGACAGTGCGGGTCAAGAGAAAATCGACCTGTATGCAGAGGTCTGGTCAATGATGGCCAGAACCATATAAACTTACACTCCCGTGGATTCGACTTGTAACAAATCGGCTCGCAGATCTGCATTCTGCAACTGTAGATCGAACTATCCCTCCACTTGACTTCGAAAACATGGCACAGTTGTCACGCATTGACCATGTTTCTGGCCTTCGGTCTCCTGAAGGGCTTGAGTATTTTACAACCCTAAACTCCCATGTTCGACATGTGTCTTCCCCTCGCGGTTTGAGCATTTCCCTATACGCTAGTTCTGGATTTGGCTTCTGTATTACGCTGTTTGATCCTCTGTCTATTCATCCTGTATGTCGTTATTTGGGAGTTAAAAACTTGCGGATCTTATTTTCTTCTGTTGTTCACTTTGTAACTTCGACGTATGATGTAAAAATTTGCGAGTAAAATAACTGCTCGAAAAAGGGCATGTATACTTTGTAAAAACGATGCCTTCGTTTTTGTGGAATGTTGTGACTATTTTGGCTACGTGTCATGTTCTGAAAGTTGAACACATGTTTAAAAGCTTAATATTTTACAACCCGAAGAAACAGTTCTGGTACGTAAACGTCTAAGTAGAGAGGGTTTAGGCTGCTCCAAAGCTTATCATCTTCGTCAACATTTAAAATTTGGATATCGTTTCTTTACCTAAGAGCATATTGCGGAAAGACCACGAACAAACCCTGCATTCTAGTAGTTGCTTTTCTACAATTTCATTATTTCATTTCTTAGCTCATCAAAATATATATTTTCAACCAAACGAAATATTCTTAGAATTTGAAAATTGATCATACTCGTGAAATTAAGAGTAAATTTAGGAAATAATTTCACAAACTTCAGGCATTCCTTTTAAAATCATAATAAATTATTCTATTTCAAATAAATTCAATAAAATAATTTATAAAGTTAAATTCTTCCACAGTCTTTGGATTGATATCAATCAGCTATTCATCACCATTCAAATTATTTGAAAACCATATTTGGAATAAAAAGTTAGAAATTTCAAGCATATAATATCCTTGACTTAATCATAGTCCACTACAAAATAGAATGAATGTTTTTGTATATAACGTTCCAATTTTTTCCATCATTTTTAACATTGCAATTCTACTTGACATGATAATTAATCATAAATCCCACTTCAAATGGATAATTAGGTACAAGGTTTTCTTTTGTTTGAAAATTATATCAACATTAATATGTGAGAAATCTATATCAAGATTATTAATTAATTTTTATGAATTCTACAACATCATTAAACCCTTAGCTGTGTTAATACATACATTTTCTTGGAAAAAATGCTCATGTTGAAATTTCATACAAATAAGGAATCCAAAATACTTCAATAATTCATGTGTTTTCCAAATAAATATGCATGATTTTTTAACATGTGGATTGATAAAAAAATTATTCGATAAATTATGTAAAGAATCTATTCAGTGAACATTTTATGTTTAGATTTATGCACTGGTTTCTTATATTTCACGAGAAATCCAATACACATGTTAAAAAATTTGCGTTAGAAGTGTAATATCATTTACGTGACCCCCATGATTTATCTCTTTAAAGAACTGGAGTATACAGAAAGTTCATATTGAAATAAGACCATTTCTGGCTTATATTATACGAAAAATATGAAGAAAATATTGAATATAAATATTAATATATTTCTGAAATCTTGACATATATATTTTAACATTATATTATATCTAAATAAAAATATGTTTTATATTTTGAAAAATGTAAAATATCATCCTTAGTACACTTGTATTGAATGAATATGTAAAATGCACTCACTCACACTTACATAACTTTCAACTAAGAATTAGTCAATTGAATATATCATAATTTCAAAATCTACAGTGATTTCTATGGTTCATTTTATATTTTCAATATATTTTTTGCAATAAAATTATTCTATCAATGTGTTTTTGGATCAGGAATCATGATAATTCTTTTGAAAATAATCGCGTTTTTTTTAACGAATTTCTAGTTGTAACATATGTGAATTTTTTTTTCATAAATGATGATGTTTCACACAATTGTAAAATCTAAAATTATTTTTGCTGTTCACAGCAAATTTATTGCTTAATATATTTTTTCAAATATTCATACTTATATAACTCAAATTCAAATTTCTTAGTTAACCTTAGCTTAAGATTAGTATCAAAATCTACTAAGTTTAAATTTTAAAATACGTTTAAATGATAGGTATGATACAAAGTTGATGCTTCTTTGATGTGAATAATAATTCAAGTTAATGTTATATATGGATATAAGTGTGAAAAAATATTTTTAAAATAATTTATTCAAAGGATTACTGAAAGTTCTCCAAAATTTGATACACAGGTTTTTTAATGTTTTGAAATAAATTTTCTTAATACACGACTTTAGAATAAAAAGGATAATAAACAAATATTTTAATGCATACCATTAACATATATCTTAACATATACTTGATTACATCATCTTTATTTTCAAAAGCTCTAATTTCTTTAATTTTCAATAAAACGTATCATCTAACGTCTGTCTAAAATTGCAAAACAAAACTGATGTAAGATCAAATAACATCATCCCGAATTCAAAAAAAATATATTAGATATGAAATTATTTTTGGCGTTGTGTGCAATTATGGAATATATTTAAATAAAAACAAAATTCACTATGCAAGTTGTGAGATGTTATACGACATTTTTTTTGAGTCAAAATATATTTTGCCTCATTCATGTTTTTTTTGAAATAATATATATTTGAGTATCTTGTTAAAAATTATATGTATATTGAGCTATGAGCAATTGCATTATTGTTTTAAAATTTATTCATGCATTTTTAGATTGGAACACAATTGATCATACATTTTTTAAATTTCATAAGTATTTTCAAATTAAAAATTATTTTAAAAAATTAAAAAAATGTAAAAATTACTAAAATATTAAGCATAAAAAATATGTATATTCTATCACCAATTTTGTAAATTTTTTTGAACATATTTTATATGTATGTAATATATCTTCATTATGGTTGTTGATAAATTTAAATCATTTTACTAAATGGTCGTAAAAGAGTGAAATATTTTGGATTCTAATGTCAAACCTTTCTTCCTTATCATTTTTTATACATATGATTGCATAAATTTAAAAAATGAAATCCAAGGTCATAGGCACAAACTTACAATTTTGCATGTTTTTTTTTGAAATTGATTTTTTACCATATTTTTGCTTGCTGAATCACATCATTCCATTTTTCAAATCATTTGAAATCTTTATATTAAAAATATTTCATAATTTTTTTTCTTAAATTTATTCATAATTTTCTCTCATAAATTTTTCCATAATATATTCTAATTTCACATTTGAAGCTAATAAAAATCATATATATCACCTGTAATAAAAATATCAAAAGATCAATTATCCAATATAACGAATTAAGATTATAAAATTTTCACCTTAAATTAATAGGAGGAAAAACCGATTTTATTTTCAATTTATAATCATCTGATTCAATTTAATCAACCATATTGTATTACCTTATTTTCAAAAATATGATAAGTAAAAGTGAATTTTTTTTTCATTTAAACCTGAAAAATAATTACTTTTTCCTAAATGAAATTCATTCAATTTTAAGAACATTCGATTGATATAATAAACAATGAAATAATTTCATGATTACAATCAAATTGTTATTTTTTTATACAAAACTACAGTTGCATTATTGATCCATGATCAAAAAATCGAATAAAAGAAAATAAATTCATGTATTTTAATAATAAATTTAAGTTTTAATGTTGATTAGAATAAAAATTTAGGAATTTCATACATGTATGAAATAAATATTTATAATATCGAGCACACACTTTTACATAAAAAAGATCCAAAAAATCACTAGATATGAACAAAAATTTGATTAATTATTCCAACAATAATGTAGATTTCAATATCAATATTACCAAATTTCAAAGTTTGTTTGATATAAAATATCAAAAATCAATCATTGATTCTTATGGCATTGTGAACAATTGTAAAACTCATACCATTTTTTTAAAAAATATAATATAATTATAAATTTTTGACCTTTTCATCACTACAAATATTTTCAATTAGTTTCACAAAAAAATTCAAAAGCCAGATGCAGAAATGTAAACGGAAATATCACTTTCAAAAACATAATAATACTTAGAAATCATTTATTACAATTTTTTGTATATTGAATCCGGAAACTAATGTAGCCCAGATTTAAAACTAATAGAATGGTCATTCACTCTCAAATGTACATAAAGACCGGTTAACATAGGATGAAAAGCTATTTGTGAAACCAGAATATGTCATCTCTGGCACTTGGTATTTCTCTGTAACGTACTGAGGAATTTAAAAAGGGACTTCTTCATCCTGGAATGGATCTCAGGTAGCTGTCACGTTCTAGGAACTCCTGGTGCCCTTAACCCTGAAAGTTACCTCGTCTACCGAATTACTATATTACTTGGCCCCGCTCTTCGCCTTGTCTCCCTTCATACATCTAACAAAAGGTCGCGTCGGCTTTCGCATAGTAAGATTGACAAAAGGGATGAGTGAGAACAATGAAACCAAACCGGTACCATGTGGCTAAACTTGTGACTTAACTGGGGTGAATGAAAGGACTTGTCCAGCAGCCTGCTGGACAACTCCTTTCACAATTAGTCTGCTGCTGCAAGCAGCAGACTAATTGTGAATCTCAAAGATGGTATTGAACATAATAACCGGAAGGAGGCACTGTTCTAACCTTGGTTGGGGTTCGAGTCAAGGTAAAGTGCGCAGAAGGTCATGGTGGGAGTAACCGGAGGAAGGGCATAGTCTAACCTTGATCAGGAGTCGGGACTGGACGACGCGACGGAACGAGGCGAGCGAGCGCATGGCGAAATGGGTGACAGATACTGAGCACATTGACCGACCGAGGCAGGATCAGCGATGAGCATGCAGATCTTGCCTGCAGCGTGCGAGCCGGCGCTAAAATCATTGATAGGTCCCATTTTGCGGGCGGCGAAAAGTCGCAGCAATTGGTGCGGAAGAGCAGGAGTGCGGAACGCCAAAGTTCGCAGTTGCGGTCAGATGAGTTTTGCCATTTCTTCTATCGGATGTTTCGTGTCTTCTTCATCTTGCTCAAGTGGTCGCCAGGTCGTCGCGTTGAGAGGTGTAGGTTGTTTTGGGGCTAGACGGGCTGCGAATTTGGGGAGCAAGAGTTTGTTGAGACGAGATTTTTGTCTTAAGAACGGCGAGATTCACGAGAGGGAATTGAAGTCCCATACGGGAGTTGTTGCGGCCATGACTTCTGCGAGTGGAAGCCCCCCTGTTGGCTACCGTCCTAATGTAGGGGTTTGTTTGGTGAATGACAAGAACGAGGTAAGCGAAAGGACATGTGGTTGTTGCTTGAGCTATCTGTTGTAAATGTTCGTCTGATTCAGTGGATTATCATATATCCGAGCTAGTAAGTTGGATTTTTGTTCGAATGAAACGTGAAGTTTTGGAGGTTTGCTTGCCGACATAGCAAATGTCGAACAGTGTGGGGAGTCTTTTTCTCTGATCTTCTCTGTCCGTATGTTTCCAATTCACATCATCTTCTCAACAGCAGCCTTGACATCAGTAGCTGAATCTGATTTCACATACATATCGAAGTTTGTGTTGACAAGCGTGTGGCGGGGACGCCTGTACCTTCGTGGCGAATCTATTCTAGCCCAGCAATGTGAATAGTTTCAGAACAGAGCAGAATTATTGTTGAGAACTCCTTTCCTTTGGAGTTCGACGCTTCTGAGTCGTCCCAGTTGACAGTGAACGATGTTATCTGCGTTTCTTGACGTCTGTTGGCAACTTTCCCAGAACCTGGAAATAAAATGCATACTAGTAGCGACTTGTCTCCACATATGGTTTTCTGCATAAGTGGAATCTTAATAGGTTGTTTCGCCGTGCTATTGTTGCAGGTGTGGGTTGGTTCAAGGTTGGATCTCCCAGATTCCTGGCAAATGCCTCAAGTACGTTGAGTAATACATTTCCAGCACATTGCCTTATTTTTTCATGACTGTCTTCATTTGTAGTGCGTTTCCTATGTCCCCTGCCTTTAAGAATCGTGCGAGATTCATAATTACAATGTCGCTCTTGACTTTCTCCAATCTGAAAGTTTCAGTACCACGACCTGCTATGCAGGTAACTTGTGCGTAATTTTCTAACCCTTATAGAAGAGAAACTGGTCATCTCAATCTGTACGGACAGTAGCTGCATTAATTGGTGTATTTGTAGAGCTCGACTAAATAATTTTTCATTTGTGAATTCTCTTTTTGTGTTTTGGATTCAAGTGTGTATGTATTGATCATGGATTGATGCACATACTATACACATATTCATTGTAGAGGATATTAGACACTCTTTCGTTCCATTGATGTTGTTTAAAGTTTTCTCGTTACTAACTTAAGCCTTAGAGTTTTACATGCCAGCCGATGTTTGTAGTCTTTCTATCACCTATTCCTCGCATCCTCTCCTCCACATTCTTCCTGGTCAGCCACTTGCACCAGCTAGGGAGGCCCCGAGTGACAGGTCTGCAGGCTTTGACAGACATTTATTAATGAGTGAAGTTTTTATTCATAGAAACTGCCACTCCCTTTTCCTGACGCCAGGAAGACTTCAAACGTGATCTGTAGATAACTATGTCCTCTGAATCTCAGAGATCAGTTGAATTGAAACCCTTATCTCACTTAGCAGTCACTGCTGCCAAGAAATTGTTAAGGGACTTACGCTTTAATTTGAACGGAGTATCTGAATGTTAGATTGTATGCTTCACTTTTAGTTGAGAAACTGTGTTCAACAGTAGTCTATGTGCATCTTCTTCCCTGTCTCTGGTATGTCGTATTTTAAACGACTTGGGTCCATCACTTACGGAGTTCACATCTTCAGGGCGGTGTGGATGAAGGAGAAGACCCTCAACAAGCGGCTATTCGGGAGTTGAGAGAAGAAACGGGGGTAACGTCTGCTGAGTTGATCGGAGAGGTAAGGTACGTACTTTAAATTTGCAAGTCCTGTGTTCTTCCAATGTTGCCAAGTCAATGGATGAAATTCTTGTTTGGGATCGTTGTTCTGCTTATTCTTGTATGGAAAGCCGCTTTTGTTCAAATATTGTTCCGGAGGTAACGCATCACTATGTGTATGCCACGCTGGCTGATAAAGCCAGGTAGTTTGAAGCTTGGCCTATTGTACTTCTTCTCTTGAAGTTATATTATTGTCCTATAGTCCGTCTCATTGTTGAAGCCTGGGAGTCGTAGAGGCCCTCTCATTGTTGTGTTTGCATTTAATCAAGCCATTGTTTGCAGCCATTGCTTCGTACCTACTTATTGAATCTATTAGCTGGTCTTTCAGGTTGCCGAGTGGCTGACCTACGACTTTCCACCCGATGTTAAAGCGAAGATAACCAGGTTGTGGGGAAAACCTTGGACAGGCCAGGCTCAAAAGTGGTAGGTATGTCGAGCCTGGTTGACTGGTTCACTATAAATAGACCACCCCTTGAGTGCGAGTTGTTCTTAGGAGACATTTGGGTTCACACACGTCATCCTTGTCACTCAAGAGCAAGATTTAAGTGAAGGAAAGGTTGTAAGAGTTTGGGCTTTGCGCATCGGATATCGAAGGAATGTGGTGGTATGCATCAGTTTCAAAAGTTGTGCATTCTAAGCCTGTCCATCCTGGAAAACAGGTTCTTGTTTCGTTTCACAGGTGATGAGAGCGAGGTGAATTTGGCGGGAGATGGCACGGAACCAGCAGAGTTTGCTAACTGGAAGTGGTTGCCTCCAGAGGATGTCATAAAGATGGTGAGACATAGGGTTCCATTAGCGTTGGATAAATGTTTCTTTGGTAGTCTTGGACAACTTTCAGTTTTCAATTGTCTTATTGAGCAATCCATGTGTGCCTTGATTTATTTCAGGTTGTGGACTTCAAGAAGCCGGTCTATTCCAGAGCTTTCAAGTCACTTGCAGTGTTCGTAGATTCTTGGTCAAAATTGTAGTAAAAGAATGAAATTACAATTGGGGAAACCGGGTTCATATAGATCTCAGGCTGTTGCATCTTACCGATCCATGGGTGATCTGAGGCCCCGCTTGGTTCAATGCGAGTTCAGGCCGGCAAGTCTTAAGGGGACAATGGTAATAATTCATTTCTCAAGTCACATAAAACCTCGTTTTCTGTTGTATCTCATTGCCAAATGGGAACACCAACACACTCTGCGAGGTCTTCACCACGACGTGCTATTATGACACATCTCGTAAGAGACATTGTGTCATGCGAGAGATCAACCCTAAGTCCTTTCATCGTAGCTTTGGGTCCCCTCGTTCATTTATCTTGTAATGTCTAGTAAGGCCACAAAAGAAATTTGATCCTGCGGTAATTGTGAGGCGACGGCAGCATGTTCATGTGCCGTTCAGAGTCAAATATTCGGTACACTGGAAAGTATATTTGTAGTTCATTGTAAACGTCCGAATGGACGTCTAGTAGAGCTGGAAAAGTGTCAAAGTCTAATACTGGTCCATGATTTGTCTGTCTTGTCGACTGTCGTTGTTCATCCTGTTTACCTCATTCCTGTGCTTCATGTAAAGACGTAGATGTAGTGAAAAGATCGTTTGCCGTTTGTGGGTTGAACACGTGTCACGTCTGCAGGCGTACAACAGGGCTGTTATATCAGGGTCGTCATGTTACCCTTCTACTAGCATCCAGGCTGGAAATTTGACAAGTTAGTCGCGAAAAGGAGGTCTCCAGTCTATAAGTGTCTGACGAAATTTAGCAGACGAAATGACGTAAGAAGGTAACTCCCCTGGAAGGAATTTTGAAAAGTATAAAGACGAGTTGACGTAAAAGTCAGTGATCTTGGTTATTGAGCTCATAATCATATCCAATTTTTTCAACTAAAGACAGATTAATAATAAGTCATGTGATGAAAACTCTCTTACATTTGAAACAAACAAACAGATGAGCAAATGATTTATTAAGTTAAGTAAGGAAATAAAATAATCAAGTAACAGAAGAATTGAGTTCTAATTTCAACATGAATCAGTATGTGAAAGTCAAGCTGAAAAGCAGTACGTAAATGCAAATTGAAAGGTTGTATGTTAAGGCAAGTTGAAAAGTTGAAAACAAACCGTGCAGCTAAAATATATGTGTGTAATTTTTATCAACTTTAGTGACCACCAATGTCTGCAATTACTGTCTAATGTCTAACGCATGATTGGAAAGACACGGAATTTTAAAAACAAACCGTCATGAAGCTTCACGAAATCACTGTTGCAATCATTTAAATGCACTCTTAGCATGTAGGAGGTAAATTTCCTTAATCACACCCACGATGCAACCAGCTTGAATCACAGACAACACAAGAAGCTATTGGAATAAATCTCTCCATTCACATTAATGAGCAAGCATTACATTAAATACGAAATTACAAGAATTTTGTGAATGGATATTACATACTGATAATTCACAATACAGACTAGTCAGTAAAGCCATTGGCTATCATCTTCAGAAGTAAGCTAGACTATTTTTACCATGATTGCACTAACACTGGTTGTTAAAAAAGATATTATAAACTTCACTTTAGTTGAAGACCAATGATTTATGCAATGTATATCTAGATTAACATGAAATTCAAATGTGGAAAATAATAAAGTAACTTTCACAAAGAACAAGCGTTTGCAAGGTCGATCAACAATACGGTGGATGATAGATATAAAAAAATTACTAAATATTGGATTATAAAAAAATTTCATAAAATTCTATATTTTTATCCAAAACAATAATTAAAGAAAACATTTCAATCTTGACAAGGATAAGCTTTTCTAAGAATGCATTTGATTACTATTTTTATTAGGTAGCCGCTAACCAGCACTCACCTTTGGCTAACCATCACTCACCCTGTCTATATAGAACCCCTAGGCTCGTTTTCGAGGCCTGTGATTGGCTAGAACCATTCAATATTATCACGAAAAAATAATTTGCCGCCGCCAGAAAACCATTTGTGTATTAAATATTATTTGAGCTATTGTCTATCTATCTTCTTCAATATCAGAGAGATGCGGGAGGTGTGGACTTCAATTACTTTGCAATGAACAACCTGAACTACTTGGAGAGCTTGGAGAGCGTGTGTTTGCCACCCTAGACGAGGCTCGTGCGGCAGTAGACTCTCAACTGCAAGATGAGGGCTTTGTTTTGACTATCAAGCATACAAGGCGGGTGGGTAACAAAAAAGATGGTGACATCAAAGCAATGGTTCCAACCAATCACAGGCCTCGAAAACGAGCCTAGGGATTCTATATAGACAAGGTGAGTGGTGGTTAGCCAAATGTGAGTGCTGGTTAGCGGCTCCCTTTTATTACCACACTTATCAAATTATATATTCATGTTATGTTGTGAAAATATATTTATATGATTGATTTCCATAAATAATAACATTCTTCTATTTAAAATAATGCTTGCAAGAGATAATCATCCATAGCATTGTATTTCATGCATTTTATTAATCTATTATCATTCATTAAAATATCTCAAAACATAAATTCAGCAGTAAATTCCTAATTGCGAACTTTTGAAAATTAATTGTAAAATTTTGAACATGATGCATAACTACATGAACATGCATTGAACTAAATTTGACAAAGTAAATATTTTATTACTTTTATTTTTCAAATATGTCTTAAAAATAATAATTTTATATACATTTTAATAGAATATAAATTGTGAGAACGTTTTGATGTAAACATAATCTTAAAATTACATGTTTTTACATATACATGTTAATATATAATGAATAATATGCATTTTTTAATATATATTATAAATAATTAATTAATTGATAATTTTTTTATCATTGCTTGGAAATTTAAACCTAAATAAATCTTTTAATATTTATTCAATCATAACTCCGATTTTGAAAATTTAAGGGATAAAATATTTGATAAAATGGAAATTTCGAAATTGAATAAAATATTTTGATGGTATTTTTCATGATACTTAAAAAATCTTTTAGATATGACATTAAATAAGAAATTTTGTTGATGCTCATGATATACTAGATTAAGAAAAAAAAACTCAAATTTATCAACTTACTCCAAAATATGTAGAGTGTTGTCGGCCAAGAGACAGAACTCTGAAGTGAGTTAGTATATGAGGTTTTCACATATTCTTCACTGACTTTATAAGGTTAACCCGTTGATACTATCATAATTATAAAAGTTTGAAATCTGTAAGTTTGAAGTCTTGTGTATTCTGTTAAATTTATTTAAAATTTATTTGAAAATGTAATTCCTATAAATTTTAAATTCAAAATTACATTTACAAATTATAAAACAAATTTTTTAACATATATTTTAAAGATTTATGCAAAAATTTGCAAGCTTTAAATTTCAAATATGAAAATTCAAATCTAGAGTTATAAGTTTAAATTATGATATCATGCTTATATTTGATCTTTTGCAAAAAAATTAAATTAAAATTTGAAGTTTTCAAATAAACTTATATCCTTTTTGAATGGATTTATTTCACGTTTTTGATGATTATTTTTTAAATGAAAGATTTTTAGTTCTGTTCATTTTTAAAAATTGATCATGTAGACATAATAAATTGTAAATTTCAAATAATCACCAACATGTGATCTGTTGTTTAAAATATAGCAAACATATTTTGAATCTATACTTGAAATAGGTAATTATGATTGGAATATTTTTATTGATAAAGATAAAAAATGGTTTGAATTATTTTTAATGTTATCTAGCTAGCTGTAGAGTTCAGATTGTCTAATCTTGTTGATGTAATTTTTCATATTTTGAATTATACTTTGTCGTAGAGTACGACTTCTGCAAAAAATTGTGTGACCGTAGCTATTGATAGGAGTTAAATTAGCTAAGTTGATGGTAGAGATATTTGTTTTGCGCAGGATTTCAATCTCTTTTGCTCAACCTTTTGAGTTGTCTTTGCATTCTAGATTTTGCAAATAGAAAGATATGAAGTATGATATTGTTGAATGTTTGCTAGTTCACAAACAACTCATGGACTGGAGATCACAAAAATGATCTATGAAGCTCGGTTTGAAAGTAACAATCAAGATCAATTTGCAAGTATGTATTGACAAGTAATTGACACATCACTTGATATTGCCAAAGAAAGCAAAAGATAAATTATTGAAATTGAGCATCTTATGAAAGCTTTATTGGAGCAATGTAATAATTTCACTCATTTTTGTTGAAATTGACGTGAATAATACATCACTAAGTGATTTATATTGAGTATATTTAAAATAAATAAACTACAACTTCAATAAGTGAAGTATCATTTAAAAAAATTTAAGCTTTTCAAAAACTATCGTCATTTCACTTTACAAAAATAGATGCTTCTAAAAGATCTACGTAGATAAAAAACATGTCATATATTTTTGTTCTTGAATATTATTTATATCAATAAAGATTACTTTCAGTAAAAGAAAATCAAATAATAATGTAAAAATAGTTAGTTAAAATTAAAATAAAGGTTATTCAAGATGAAGTTAGAGTGAATTTAGATCCATTAACCATAGTTGTCACGTCTGTGAACCCTGTGTTCGATAAATAGAGAGTAACTGTGTTAGTTGACAGCGCTACGTCAATGATCAATATGTTTGTTAGCTAAGTATTGAATGTGTTGGTTAAGAACATCACGTTAATACATCGTTTGATTGTTAGTATTATCCGCTATGTCATCCATCAATTACGAGTGAAATGGATGGTGGGGATGAGATGTTATCTTCTTGTAATTGTTGGTATGATCTATATAAGTAAGAGTATAATTGTTGTTGAAAACTTTCATCTTCAGAGTTTAGGTTTTTAAATTCAAGAGAACTTCTATTTAAAGCCTATTATTACAAAATTTATCATAAATTATCTCAATAATTTTTGAAAAATTTCAAATAAAGTAAAAATTTTAAAGCTAATTCAAAAAAAATTTGTTTATGAAAATTTGTTTCATCAATGAGTAGTTGAATTTGAAAATTATCTTGGAATGTCAATGTGAGTTTTTACTAAGTGATAAATGAAATGATTGTGTGAGTATTGTATTTGAATATGAACAAGTAGATGAATTTTAGCTCATAAATGATTATGAGCTATTGCAAATTTGTCTTAGATGAGAATTGGTTCGGTGTTCATATTTTTTGATTTTATTGTTGGACTTGGAATCTAAAACACAAATTTAATTTCAAATTTAGTGTTTGACCCAAGAATAATGGACTATGATAATACATTTAAAATTGACTTTGAAAAACAAACAAACAAAAAATTGTAAAATCTTTGGTTGTATGTGGTAATTAAATTATAGAATTAACATCAAAGTACAAATTATGAATAAGCATCATTATATCATATAGTATCAAAGTCTAGATTTTAATATGGAATGACTTTGAATAGATTTCAGTTTTTGATAAGTGATTTGAATAAATGATAATTTTTTTATAATTAACACCAATCTAAAGTTTGGTTTAATGGCAAGTTCAGGTTTTAAAAGTTTTAAATTCTTCAATATTTTATTATATTAACTTGTTTATTTTATAAAAGTAAGTTAGGAGATAATTATCATAGTGATTTTTCTATTGATAAAGTAGAGAGCTACAAAAGATACTGTCAAGCAAGTTTAAAGAATATTTTTTTATCAAGATAGGATTTGAATTTGCTTATTAATTTTGTATGTCAATTAGAGTTTATGTTGAATGATAAAATATATTTTAAATTTAGGTCAAACTTAAACATTTGACATTAAATTAATTTATAAATTTGGTTTTTGTCTTTTTGAAAATGTAGTCA